CACCTAAAACGTTCCAGCAATTCCAAGTCGAATGGCATGCACGGCTAGGGTTTTCCTTCTTCTTCCTTGCTGCGGCACAAGGTGTGGGTGATGGTTTTGGGGGTTATGAACAATGTATTCTTGCTTGAGATGATGAATGATGGCTGATTATGGTGGTAGAGTGCGGCAGGTTGTATATGGAAGTGTATGGAGTGAATGAATGATGGAGAATGGAGGCTAGGGCTTGCGGCAAGGATTTTCTGAATGGCATAAGGGGTTCATACGAATTTGTGGCTGAAAATATGTTTATATAGTCCTAGGATAAATTAGATTAGGATTACACTGAGCAGATTTATTGGATTAGGGCCTTAGGGTTCGGCACAAGTGAGTTAAATCCACTTAGGAGAGGGTTTGGCCTAATTAGTTTCATAAAAGGATTTGTGTAACCCAAATCCACAAGGAATGAGGCCCTATAAATCAGAATCCAAAAGGAAAAAGGTTTAGGAAATTCATCCAAAATTGGGCCTTCTAGAAACTAGGTGTTTTGTGGCTGATTTTGGGTTTTCTAGAAGAGATAAAAGGGGGAAGGGTGCAGCACCCTTTTAGGGTTAGATAAGGCTTCTAGAAATCATGTTTTTAGGTCCACTTGCAGCTAGGATTAAGGTGGAAGAAGATTAGGCTAGGATAGGATAAGATAAGATAAGGTTTTGGATAATGTTTCCTCTTTTGAGCTAATTTCTTATATACTTTGTCTTGAGTTTAATTTCTTCATCTTCTTATCAAGTTTCTAGCCTTTTGAACTCCAAATTCGTCCATCCATGTTGGCCCATATACAAGCTATCCATGTAGTGCCCAAAACTACTCCAAAATGCACTTTCTTGGTACTTTAACCCTTTCTACCTTCAAACACACGAAAATGAGTTGAAATACTACATTAACTAAGAAATAATAACACAAATGCACAAGAATAAGCTAGGTAAGTCGCAAAAATATACTCCTATCATTACTCTCATGTCACATTCAGAGTTCGGCACACAGATAGCCGAACCATTTTTATGATTAAAACACTCATCTCCTTTAAGTATTATTGTCCATACAATTTCATTCCAATTCGATGGACCTATATTTTTACTAATATAGTTGAGGTTGCTGAACTCGATACATAGGTTCCAGAATTTCACAGTGATTTGCATAACTTTGTCTTCAAGTTTTAGAACTTAAGGCTGAGAGTGTTCCTTCCTCAGCTGAAGTCATTCAATTTAGAAGTTAGTTGTGCATTTCTCCGCATCGCCATTTTCCAGTTATTCGCCCGGCCTAGCTCGGCAATGAATTGGCATGCTTGCATCAACATTCAAGCCACGAAAGACATAGTTAGCTCTTAGTTACTTGGGTCGCGTGACACGTAGACTTTATAATTTTTAGGGTCAATATTTTGACACGCCCGGTAAGACCCTTTGTGCAAATCTATGAAGCCCACATAATATTTCAATATTCCAATCTGTCTTAATCGGCCGAATGGACAAGATTCAAGCTCAACAAACTCATTCAAAAGGGTGAGGAGGATAAAAGGGCATGAAAGTGAAGAAGATTCTTGATACATATGAAGAGATGAGAAAATCCTTCTCCCAAATGTTAAACCCGAAAGCTCATGTTACCTTACAAGAACAATGGGTAAAAGAAGACAATGCCTGTTTTAATAGATGGCTAGATGAGAAAAGCTTTCCTTTCGTTCTTGGGTAAAAATCAATTCCATTTAAAGTATAGTTAGATCAAAAGACCGGGCTCTTATCATTCTTAATTTTCTGTTGAAAAGGGGAGGTAGTGTCTATTTCTGTTCATATTTCTTGAACTATCTAAAGCTGGTTCTGTTGCCAAATTTCTTAATCACTGTGTTCATTTTCTTAATGGAGTGGAGAAATATATGATATGCCAGAAGAGTGAAAGCTAAATGTCAACCTCTCATTGTACAATTAAACATGCACATGGCTATGTTGCCTACCAAATGCATATGAGATCCCTGAGCAGATAAGCAATGGCTGGAAGGAAGAACGGTAGGTCTTCTTTCTGGAGAAAGTACTTTCCTCCCTACGAGTCGTATAAAGTGCTTCTCAGGCCCCATCAATAACTGGCAGAAGAATGCAACATCAAAGATCAAATTATAGTTTCTTGGCCCCATCAATAACTGGCAGAAGAATGCAACATCAAAAAGGAGTGCAATGACATTGAGAAGTCGATTGCAACACACATGCATCTGCCCAATCTTATAGTTTCTTGCTACTAGAATTGGGAGACAATATTGGTAATGATTATGTAAATGATATGTGAGTTGGGTGTTTGTTATACTCGCAATGTCTTTCCGTAGAGGGGATTTATAGCATACAACCGGATATATATCCAGTATTTTTGTATAGCTCATCAAGAAGTATGAAGAAATGTCATAAGGGAAACATCCACAGGGCAAGCAAAGAATCTCTGTAATCGGATCACACACTCAAACAGAATTCATTTGATCCACACTACAAGGACGGCCACTAGCCACCAATAACTAACAGTAGCTAATGTGTGGCAAAAGATACAAATGCCACTATAATTAGGTCTTCCGTCCTTAAATGTTCCCATAATATTTGAAATTAATTTGTCACTGTTCTTCAGTCTTCCATGTTGAAAAACCCGCATACTAGACCTTGCTCTTTAATGTAACCAACGGCAATAGACTAAACTAGCAAATATTAGAAAACTTAGAAACACACAAGAATTATATTGGTTCGGCATAACTTTTGCCTACGTCTAGTTGTGATTTCTCTAGGTAGAGAAATCACCGCTCATTTGATTAATAATAAAGATTATAGAACTTTTGCAAACCCTAGAACTAATCTCAAAACTCTTAGCTGTCTGGCTGTTTTCTTTTTTTTTCTGTAAAAATCAGCCTTGCCACACCCTATTTATAGACATAGGGTGTGCTTACATGTCACAAGGCTGATTGAATTTTGTTTTTTTTTTTTTTAATAAACTAAATGTAAAGAGTAATGCTAAGGAGATTAAATTTGTAGACTAAATTTGCAAACTAAACAATGTGTTACTGATAGACAATGAGCACGTTTTTTAACGCTTAAGTAATAATCGAATCAACAATTTTCATATTATTTAGTTTACAAAATTTTGTCTACAAATTTAATCTTCCTCACATTACTCAAATGTAAAATATTATTGACCAATACAAAGCAATTTGAGAACCTTCGCTAATTTCGAGTTGAATGCAATCAGTACTAGGGCTGGGTTCGGTTCATTTTTTTTTCAGTTTTTTTTCAGTTTGGTTTTTTTCGATTTCGATTTTTTCCGGTTCGGTTTTGGTTTTTTTTGGTTTTTTATTTTTATTTTTAAATGATGTAAATGGAAGGAACCTACCTATCAACCTCCCAGTTCTCATATATCAGAGAATTGAGAGCCTCAAAATCCTGAATATATTCAAGTAATTCAACTACTTGTGATCAAGCAGGACGAATTCAAATTTTCAAAAGTTAAGCAAATACATAAACATATATTCTTCAAGGAAATGTACATCGCCAGGATTCAAAATTCAAAAACTTTAAAATTTACAAAATCATGAAATAACTCAACAAATTAACTGATCGATGCAAATCGAAAAAAAATAAAGCAATTGGGTTCTTCTAAATACCATAATCGGACTTTAATAGCGCATGCCCAGTGCCCACATTCAAATTCATAGTCAAGTCCACAATAGATCTAGAAAATTCCAAAACATATTTAGAGAAAAATACAAACTTTTTCACCTTAAATTACATAAATTTCAAATGGGTAACCATACAATTAAAAACCTATGAACTGACAAATAAATAAAACCACAACCTTTGTTGCAGTGATATCACCATGATTGTCGCAAGCTCTTTCAATTCCTCTTTTCGTCGGATCTCGAAAAGGGTGAGGGAAAATCATGGTTTGGAAGAAGGAATCCGCGAGGAGGACAGGAGAAGACTGGAGAGAGAGTGATTTGGAGGAAGAGAGGAAGGAGAGGGAGAGGGAGGGAGAGAGGGAAAGAGAGAGAGAGAGAGAGAGAGAGAGGAAGCAAAGGCAAAGAGGAAGCAGCGGATGGAACAGAGAGGTGTTTGAGATCTGAAATGAAATGGGAGTGAGACGGCTAGAGTTTGTAAAGTTAAGAAATTTTATAAAGCATTAAACATAAGAAACCTATAAATAAATTACTGGTACAACTATAACAACACAAAGTCTATAGTCAAGTTGGCTTGCAACAACCAACCCCAACCCGCAGGGAAAGGGTTCAAACCCTGACGACAACATGTATTTTTTTGTATTTATATATGATTTTTTTTTCTGTTCGGTTCAGTCCGGTTCGGTTTCCAAACCTCAAAAACCGAAACTGAACCAGTCAAATTCGGTTCGGTTCGGTTTGGTAGTTTCGGTTCTGTTTTTTTCGGCCTCGGTTCAGTTTGGTTTTCGGTTTTTTTCGGTTTTCGATTTTTTGAACCCACCCCTAGTCACTACCATATAAGTAATGTTAGGGAGACTACATTTATAGATAAAATTTATAAATTAAATTATGTGTCACCAATAAGAATAAATACGTTTATCAATACTTAGTGATAAACCAATAATCATCTTCCATATTATTTAATTTTCAAAATTTTACTTACAAATATAATCTCTCTAACATTACATGTACCATATTATCTAGCACGTTTAATTCATTTCTTTGTTTATTATTTGTCATGTATTTTGGTCCAATATTCGTGTCAATTTTATGTTTCATATTTGATGTTGGGGAATACGATGGTCAAACTAAAAGTCCACCAGCACAACATCCGTGTCAATTTCGTGTCATTCCTAAAGTTTCACCGTCAGATCAAAAACCCATCTGCGAAAGGACACGTGGAAGCGACCGAGCCTGCGTTTTCATTAACTAACAAGTCGTCACACTGAAACAGAAACTTCGTTCATTTCCCATTCGAGTTTCCTTCACAAAACCTACTATAAATCCCCATCCTCCATAGAAATCGACCTCACTCATCCAAAAAAACCAAAACCTATCCGGCAGCCTGAGGTCTACTAAACCCTAAAAATGTCTACGGTGAAGAACTGCGGATCGAAGAAAGCCGAGGATCAAGGTTTGCAGATGCTGAGGCTGCTCATTGGGAAGCTAGTGCACAAGGGTCTCTCAATCTTGTCATCAAGAGGCCCTCACGATCACCACCATCGTCACAATGATTTCGACGAAGATTCAGAAGTGGCGACGGTGGTGCCGAAAGACGTAAAAGAAGGTCACTTTACAGTTTTTGCAGTGAAGGGTAATGAAGCAGAGAGGTTTGTTGTTAAACTGGAGTCGTTGAGTAACCCTGAATTTTTGAGGTTATTGGAAGAGGCCAAGGAAGAGTACGGATTTGAGCAGAAGGGTGCTCTTGCAGTTCCTTGCCGGCCTCAAGAATTGCAGAAAATCTTACAAACATGCAGGAGGAAGAAGAGTAGTAGAACATCTAATAATATTAGTTTTACAGTTGTACAAGGATCCTAGCTAGCTTCTTTTGCAGAAATTTGTGTAATTATTTATCTAATTATTCCCTACTTTTCTGTATGTTTTGCACTGAATGTAGAACAAACTTCTGCATGGAAATAATGAGAAATTGATGCTATATTATGTGATTTCTGCCGGCAATAATGGTGGGTTTGGGGATGACAATAATTGATAATGATATTTAAAATATTGTTCTAAATGTGGATGGTCTTATAAATTATACAAGTTTTTATCACAAATGGTCTGTGAAATTGATCCACCTTGTCAAGATGGTCTTTGAAATTAATCTACCTTGTCAACATGGTCTTTGAATTGAAAATCAGTCAATGTAATCCCTGAAAATGGGTTTTCACAAATCAATGCAGTCCTTTCATCGAAATTCTGTCAAAAATTATATTATGTGCTGACTGGCACATAACTGAGTCCCACAAATCTAATTAAATATTATAATTTGTAATAAAAATATTTAACTAATAAAAACAATTTTTATATAATTAAAAACTTAAAAATAAAAAATAAAAAAGAAGAAAAAGATGAATAGTTCATCAAGGAATGCTCTGTGAGGACTCGTTGTATTCGTCCATGTAAAACACCAAGACATGAGTGTGGAAAACACTAAAGTATCGGACAGTGGGTTTTGAATCATACTAACTCATCCATTTGCCTATAAAACCAACTCAATTAAATGTTCTAGATATAACACATCACAATAGAGAAATTCAGATAAAGTATACCAAGGCTACAGAGGAAACATAAATAGTGAAATAATGAAAGAAACTATTGTTGTTGTTGTAGGATGTAGGCACACTTGTCGAACTTCGTAAATATTATATTTTATTTACTTTATATGCCACTATAGATATATATTGTTTATTTTACAACACGACAATCTCTCATGTCAGCAGTAAGCAAAATGACATGGATATGATAAAGCACTACCTACTTCTCACCTCTATCAGCGGGAATCTCATATATAAGAAAATCTTCTTATTTTAATATTTTATCCTCAACCCCCAATACGACTAATTTTCTTAAAACAAGTATGTATCTTGTTGTAAGCCTGTATATTATCATTGGCAGAAGCAAAAAGAATAGACATAAAGAGAATGAATGAAGATAATAGTACAACCTCAACTTGAAGAAGATAATGCAACATTCAATGATAAAGAAGAAAATGATAGTGTTGACTCTAGAAACTACCAAGCATACGTGATGCGTAAGCCGAATAGCTAATTAGCTAACTACGTCCTTAGGTTGATGAGGGGTGTGCCAACTCGTCGACCGAGCTCGATCAGTGAGTGAATGAAATGTGGTGGTGGTGGTCGTCGAACGCGCTACTGACTTCTTATCCGAGCGATCGCAGCCAAGGAAGGAACTTATTTCAGTCTTTTGGTTCTAGAGCTTATAGACAATGCTGCTAGTCAATGTGAAGTTTAAGAATCGTTTGCACCGGGCTTGGCTGTTTCAATTATATTTGTGAAAATATAAGTGTGCCGAATCGATACCGGACTGTATACACACAAATACTCAAAAGAGATAAGTGTCTTGATTGTAAATGTAGTTCGGCCATCGGAGTGCCGAACTCTAAAATGCACTTGTGAATATTCAATAATAAAATAGGTTTGATTTTCAATGTGCCGAACAACGTAACCTGGTATGTAACCTGGTAATACCTCACTCGCTGAGAGACTGATGAGATGACCCCTTTTGACAAGGACTCAGAGATCCCTTGGATAGATAGTCAACCGAACTTCGAGCTGTTTATTCGAACTGGAAGATATGTTTGACGAAGTTAGAAAGGCCAATGTTTTCTCAAAGATGAGAGAGTTCACGTAAAGCGATAAATTGTGCAGGATAGATTTATGTATTGTGTTGGAGGTCTTTCTCTGTTACATAACCCTTGTATTTATAGTAGTCATATTTTTGCTTGGCATGGCCTGCCTAACTTATATAATCCAATTTGAACTCTAATTTTGTGGGAGATCACCTGCTTGGAAGTAACCAATCACCCTGCATACCAAATCCTTCGGCCGTTTGAAAATCTCTAAGATAGGACAAAACTTATCTTTAGGCTTTTCCTTAAAAGATGGAAAGATAGGCTCAGAAGCCTTGCTCGTGACTTTATCACATCAATCTTCACTTTGTATGCCTGCATACTACCTCGGAGCATTTTTGCTCACCAATGTACGCTGATTATGCATTTAATTATTTATTATGTGTCATTTCATTTAATTTTAAATAATTTTTATATTAAATATTATTTTTTATTTTAAGAAAGTTAATCAAAATTAAATAAAATAATACGTGATAAATAATTAAGTATATGATATTCTTTATTAATTAATGAAATTCTATTTGTAAATCAAAAGAGAGTGAAAAGACAATTTAGTCTTCTATCACAAAAAAAATGATGGGTAATAATGTAATTTTACAGGTCCAAATTTTACTTTTTTTTATTGAAACCTCATCTACAAGTAATATTAAAACACCTCCAATATTTATATTAAAAAAATAAAAATTAAAAAACCTCTCACTCCCCCCACCTTCTCTCTCTCTCTCTCCCCCTCTCTCCTTATTTTCTAAAAAAAAATATGTTCATACACACAAAATATGTAGGCAAATACTAGTCATATACTAAAATTTAAGGTACCCGTTAACCTTTGGACCCGTATCCTTTCAACCAATCTACCCTTATCACATCACCATCCCAATTTTTTTTCAAACCATTCAATTGTTGGTGTGGACTTCAACTATCATCACCACCACCCACAAGCACTTTGTGCTGCTGCCACCACGTCCTTATTGCTAAGCTGTCATCAACTCATATTTGACTTGTCAAAGGGTAATCCTTCATCCATCTGTAAACAATCAGCTGAGATTAAGTTTAGATAATTAATATATTATTAAGAGAGAATTATTATGATTAAAAGTACTCACAATATTATGTTCAAACACTAATTAAAATGATCTCATCAATTATATCATCTAACGATCTAAAACTCTGTTTATTCAACGACTTTAATTGCATGCATCAATAATGTAAAATCGGGTTCAAACATATAGAAAAGAAAAAGAAAATAAGGGAAAATAAGATTGTGAATTAAAGTGTCGGCAAAAGGAGGAAAAAGGGGAGTTGGTACTAGTTCACCATCTAGAAAGAAAGAAAAAAAAAAAAAAAAAAAAAAAAGAAACTTTAATAAAAAATAAAAAAAAAGCTTGAATTAAGTTTATTTTAATAAAAAATCATATTGTAACTTTATTTAATTAAAATAACTTAAATTCTAATGAAAAATCCTTAAATTTTAATAAAAATGACAAAAGAACTTAAATTTTTATGAAAAATGCATAATTTTAATATTAAAAAAATATTTAAAAAAATCTGACCCATGGATCCACGCATCCTCACACAAACTGTTTATGAAACTTTCTACATTGTTTATGAAACTTAACGGTATTACACTGTTTATCAAACTTAATGGTACTACACTGTTTATGAAATTTAACGGTGCTACACTATTTATGAAACTTAACGGTACTATATTCTTCTCTCTCCTCTTCTTGAATTTTCTTGGCACATTCTCACCTTCCAAACACATTTTCTTCTTCTAATTTTCTTCGATACTCATCAAATGTTTTTTGTATCTCTTCAATTTCTTAACTTTCTACACTAATTATTTAATTTTCTTCTATTGTCCGCCCATCTGCCGCTTCCTCTTCTTCTCCACCTACAATCTTAACTTTCTACACCACGTGTTATTATGTAAGTGGTGAGAAATTTTATTTTTGAACACAAGAATCTCACCACTTGTATAGAGACGTGGTGTATCACTCTGTGTTCTAGGCACATTGAAAAATCTCTCGTCATCTTGACTACTATTAGGAAACAACACCACAAAAATAAAACTGGAAAAATGTAATTCAATTTGAAGTCTTTCTCTTATTCTAAGCAAAATAATAATAATAATAATAATAATAATAATGTATTAATGATAGCTGACAATAGGGAGAAAACATAATGAAAATGGGGGGTGGGATGGGGTGTATGCGAGCCAGCGCATGTGTATTTATTGTTTTGTCTCTTATCATTAAATAAAGTTAGTGGATGGTTTTTTATTAAAATACAAAAATTTAAAGTTTTTTTCATTAGTTTTCCTAAAAAAAAATGTGTTTAATGATTGTACGGTGAGGAGAATGAAAAAAAGGGAGACAATGTCCTACTCTTTGTCTTTGTTTTATTTTATATATATATATATATATATATATATATATTAATTATTATGATGAGTGCAGTATTATCGCCCATCTTATATTATACATACACACACACACACACACACATGGTGAATTGGGCAATTTATTGCTCTTCCTATATTAACATACATATATACGAATGGTGCGGCATTATCACCCTTCTCATATAGCAATTATTATTTTTAAGTTTTGATATTTATGTGAATAGTGTTGAATTAAATCCCTTGTGACAAGTTATATTATTTGGTGAATTGGGCAATTTATTGCTCTTCCTATATTAACATACATATATACGAATGGTGCGGCATTATCACCCTTCTCATATAGCAATTATTATTTTTAAGTTTTGATATTTATGTGAATAGTGTTGAATTAAATCCCATGTGACAAGTTATATTATTTAAAGTAATTTGTTTACAGTAAGTGAAATTATTGCCCTTTGCAATGATTTATTTATTGAACAATATTTTGTTAGGAAGAGTATATACTAGAACCTAAAGTTCCTTGATTCTAATCATATAAGAAGATTCGACCCGAAGTACTTTGATCAAAATTAAAACCTGAAGTATTTTTTCTAAATCAATTGAGTGAGCAACATTTCCTCAACTAAATTAAATGAAAGCCATAAGCTCTATTACATGAGGGCCAGAAGTTCCTTGAATTATGAAACGAGGATCATAAGTTTCTTAATCCATGTGCAATTAAGTATGAGCATGAATTTCAAAAATATGAACCTGGGGGCTCTAATATTGTCGATATCGGGAATAAATTTCAAGTACATATGTTTAATGTCTTGACCTGAAGTTCAAAATATACATAATATTGAGAACTTCAAGTTTTAACACTTTGTGTGAACATATGTTTATATGGAATGAAT